CTGTCCAAAAAACATGGACAATTCGAAATAGATACGGTTATAGATATGCAAAGATCTGCATATTTCCAACCGTATCTCTTTCGAATGGGAGACACCTAGCTAGGTTATGTGATATACGAACATGATACGGAAAGAAGGGTCTTTTATGCCTCACCTTGCTGTCCTGCAAAGTGACGAGTCGAGGACGTTGCAATAGCCTCTCCTACAATAAAAGGAACATAATAGTGTCAAATCTAAATTTCAGCAGCACCTCCCCTGTACGGGGAGGTTTCCAAAACCTGCAACAAATAAAATGGCACGATGGCCGACAACCACATACACTCGGCAACAAACGGCATGATGGCCGACAACCAAATACACTCGACAACTGAATACAGTGATTCAAATCAACAAGATTAAATTTGATGGGCTTGATGCATAAATGTAGACTTTATAGATTACATAATTAAAAGTATACAACTTTGTTTCACAATATGGTATAGGTTGTGGGCTTATAGTGCAGTTTTTCTTATCCTGTGGAAATTTTCCTGACTGTGAGTACTCGTATATCTAGCTTAGTTGTTGACTTGTCAGAACCAATGCTGAAGTCCTTTCTCAACTGTGTGCATAAATGGTTATTGAACTAATGCTCTTCCAGTGCATAAATAAAGCACTCTACATACTGAGAAAGCATGATGCACTTTCAAAGCAATACAGAGACATTTGCACCATGACAGTAAGAGTGTTTACTGAAACATAAAGCTTGAATATGCCTTTTTTCAAAGCTCGTGACTAAACCTGTATAGCAATATTGGCCATGAAGTAACAGAATCTCTACTATGCCACTTTCACACAACATGCAGTAAAGTAACTTTTGAATTACAGCAGTACAGGAACCAAGAAGGCCACGCACGGCCAGGAGCAAGCACAGCTCGGTGCACGCACTCACGGTGCAGAAGCGCTCGGTGCTGGTTACAGCTACAGATACTGCTCGGCCAGGTGCGCACGGCTGCCAGAGAAATCAAGCAGGGTCTGCTCTGCTCGATGCCTACCTGCAGTGCGGATCGAAGAGAGGGAGAGAGGAATCGAACCAGAAAGCAAGCAACAAACAGAGAGACAATGAAATCGAACACGAACTGCTGTACGCCGCAGTCCAGGACCGAGCCTACAGGGCGCGACCAACAAGAGGTGCTCCACGCCACGCACAGGAAATTGGGGGGGGGGCTACCCGGTGAGGGGGGCCAGGCGAGGGGGACACTCCGGCGGCTGACGATGGGAGGCAGGGGCGCCGGGTGGCCGGGTGGCCAGGCCGCCGTGCGGCGGCGGGAGGGGCGTCGCGCCGGGGGCCGGGAGTCACGCCAGGGGGCCGAGAGTCACGCCGGCACACCGGGATGGTGGGGGCCGGCGGCAGCACGGGAAGGCCGGGATGTCGCGTCGGTGGCGGGGCGCGGTGGGGCGGGGAGGCGGCGGCGGCGGCGGCGTCGCGATGCAGTCTGCGGTGCGCGGGGGCGCGGGGGGGGAGGCGGCGCGGCGGCGTGCTGTGCGGCATGTTGTGTGCGCGAGGGTGAGGGCCGGGGGTGCGGGCCGCTGGGGGCATATGAAGGATGCCGAGTGCCAAGATCTGGAGCACTCGGCTTTGTTTTTTTTTATTTTCATTACGGCCCGATACTGTGCAGTGGGGCCGGGTCGACGAAGTTGCCGAGTGTCCCCTATATGACACTCGGCAACTATTCTTTTCGTCGAGTGTCAGGTATAAAACACTCGGCAAAAAAGTTTATATTTCATGCTCCACTGTCCCCCTTCTTCATAGCGTGTTCTACTAAATTTGTTACGATGTCATTTAAAAATACCTTGTCAAATTCACTCAACAATGCATATTTAATTTTTCTACTAATATTAATCCATTATTTCATGCCGTTATAGCTCAAATTCAATTTATATCAATTAAAATTCTATAATTGTGGTTAATAAATTAAAATTATCAAACGGATCCGAAAATTTACCAAAATTTGATGTAAACCAATCTATGTTGTCTATTGCCTATATAAAAACTTTTGAAGTCAAACCCCAATTCGACCGTCACTTTGACTCCAAATCTTACCGGATCCATCTCAACGCTACGATTCTTCTTCGGAGATGCTTTGGTTTATAAAGGTCGTACGTGACAAGTTGTGCGAAAACCTTCTCAATTTTTTTCCACAGTCTCCACGTATGATATCATGAGATTTTGACAAATCTCGTGATTTTCAGACTTCGTTTGCTTTTTTTAGAATTTAAAAACTATTCGGCCACACGTTCGTGATCGTGTTTCCTCAACAAAATGTTCGAAAATTATTTTCATTTCCCGAGTAAGGCCCCAAAATGGACTCAATAACATGAATATGATTACTCCAGTCAATTTATTCCATTATTTGAATCACTTGCAGTTCAAATTTGACTTAAAAAAAATTCCACTAAATGCAATAAATTAATTAAATATAGCAAACAGATTGAGAAATATGCCAAATTTTAACATGTAGTACCACATGTTGTATGTGGAAAGTAGAAAAAGTTTGGAGGGCAGGAGAAAAAAAATTATTATTTTGCCGAGTACCAATAAAAAACACTCAGCAAAAATATCAGTTTCGAGTGTCAAACAAAAAACACTCGACAAACATATAAGTTTGCCGAGTGTCAATAAAAAACACTCGACAAATCCTGTCTTTGCCGAGTGTCTCTAACGGATACTCGGTAAAGTTATAACAGCAGGGCGGCGCACCCAACGGCCATCACATGGCCGCCGCACGCCTAGCGCACGTGCCTCTACTTTGCCCAGTGTCTGTGTTTGCCGAGTGTTTCGTTCTAATTTGCCGAGTGTTTTTTATTAGACACTCGGCAAAGTTGGATTTTGCCGAGTACTATATGCTTGCCGAGTGTTTAATTAAAAACACTCGGTAAATAGGATGTTTGCCGAGTGCCCTATGGAATGCACTCGGCAAACCCTCAGGCACTCGGCAATTCTACTGTTTCCGGTAGTGAGCCCGCCGTAGAAATAAACTATTGGTCCTTATTAGCTGTTTGTATTTGGCTAATCACCAATTCTGAAACTATTGTAATCTCTAGCTTCCAAGATGACAGAAATTCCATGCTTTGGGCATTGCAGCACTGTGATGGGTCATTTGGAAGTCAAGAAACAAAAGCCACTTTTGTTGCAAGATTGGAAACTATAAATTAGCCTAGCCTTTGGCTAGCCCCCTTTTGGATTACCTATAGAGAGCTATTTTTTAGCAGTTAACAATAATTAGCCCTTGTGTCAAACATATCATAATAAACTAACAGCTACTGGTTGGAAACATTATTGATCATGCTGCTCACTACACTACTACTATTATAGTATGTTTTGGACCCCAACATTCCAAATTCCAAATGCAGCTTATACCATGTAATCTAACTCGGTGGTCGTAGCATTTCAAAAAGGTTGAGATGCAGTTCTGTCGATCCCTCGTTTGTGCATGCCATGATCACTAGGCCGGTATGCCTTGTTAAAAAATCATAAAAAAATTTCACTGCCACCAATATTAATGATATATGCTGCGGGTCCGGCCCTAACGTTTCGGCATAACATACCAAGGTAATAAAGTGACAATATCTAAAATAGCGTGCATTTGCATAAAAAGCTAGGTTTCGTTGTGGAGGACCCCCACACCACCTAAGCAAAAACCATGATACGCTACTAAGGTAAGTGACATGCGCAGTGATGTCATTTTCTGATACCTTATTCGGAGCAGATTCTTCCATTCATATGCATAGGTTTGTTGTAATTTGGGGGGAGGGGGTGAACGAAAGCTCAAAGGTAAAAAGTGTCCTCCTTTCCCCGGCACCTTTATTATATTCTCTTGCTTATTACACCTTGATCCATCCTACTGGCCACTTACCGGCAGTGCCGTCATGTCATCACCACAGATCAAGTGAGTAAGCATCAGGTTTTTCTAAATCAAATGACCACCAACCGTTCCCTCTATTGGCCGCGCGTGTTAACGCTAACAATTAACTAATGATCAAGCTAATTTATGGATAGTCGCGCGCGTGTACAGCAAGGTTGTCAGGATTGTGGTACTACATACATCCTCTGTTTCGAAAAGAATATAGTTCTAGCACAGTACCAAGTTAGAGTATCTCAAGTTTGACTAACTACATATAAAAACGATAAAGAATTATGATATGAAGTAAATATGTTATTATATTTGTCATGAGATATATTTTTATAATATACTTATTTTACATTATAAATATTAATATTTTTATCTATATATTTGATCAAACTTTGGACACTTTAGAATTACATTCATTTCTAGACATAAGTAGTACGTGTAAGACCGTTGACCATGGTAAGTGGACCATTACTACCTAGAAAAATGTAGTAAAGATATTGTGCATGACCAAAGTGATCCTACAAATTAAACAGCTGTGAGAAGAAACCCAGTGCACAAATGGATTAGGACACATATATTTAATAAAGCATGACCAAAGTCATCCTACAAAAAAGTATGCATTCTAGAGGCTAAGTCAGTTGCTGTCCCATATATGAATGGTTTGTTAGACTACGACATTATTTCACTTTCACCCCATTGTTTCTCTTTGGGGTGTTCTTTCCCACCATATATATGTGTAGTATACTCATCCTCTAATTTTGTGCCTTTTGTGCTACATTTTTTATATTATACCTCTAAATTGAATCTAACATTGACACGTTTCAGCTCATTCACTATTCATGCTTGGTTCACTGCTCGCACTGGCTACCTAATCTGATCTACTTGCCATAGCTATCGTGGCAGTGTTTTGTTAGTACCTTGTACGTTGAGTAAATTACACGGCCGGTCCTGGATTGATTTCGTCTGGGTCCCCAAACTATAAAATCGCACTCTTGGTTCTTCAATCTACTTAATTCGTTCCATGTAGGTCCTAAACAGCCCAGGCGCTGTCAAGCAGTCGACGTGACTGCCCTCGTACACGGAGGCGGTGCAGGCGGAGAGCGAGGAGCCTCAGGCTCGGACAGCCGTTTGCGCCTCCAAGCCTGCCGCGCAGCAGGACTCCGAGCCTAGGGGAGGTTCTTGCTGACCTCCAGGAAGCGGAGATTTGAGCACGACGCAAGCGACGCCGGGAGCTCCCCCTCGACGTGCCCGGGCACGAGCGAGAGCTCGGTGAGCGCGGACAGCCGGCCCAGCACTGGGTCCAGCCGCCACCCTGTCCCCGTCGCAGAACACGCCGGGGAACCCGCACGGATCGGCGGTGAAGTCCCAGCCGTCGAAGAACTCGGAGCCGGGCATGTCGTCCAACGACCGCCGCACGGCCTGCAGCGCCAGGAAGTCGACCGGGTCAAGGATCCCCGCCGCCGGCCGCGGCGCCACCGCCACGGCCGCCAAGACGACGCACGCCACGACGGCGCCGAGCCGCGCGGTCACCGCCATTGTCGTTCCTCCTCTGCTTTCGCGCGTGCGCGACGGCTCTGACCTCTGTTACCTCTGCAGCTGCAACAAGAAGGAACAGATCAAAAGCACCGATCAACCGCGTCGGGCCGTGGCGCAAAGAGCAGCGCGAGCGGCAGCGTGGGAACCTTTAAGCTTGTCGCGCGCTGTCTTTAAAGGCGCACGGCGTGGGGTGGTGCAGCGAGGGGGTGCTGCTGCCTGCTGGGCGTTGGTGAGCTGCCTTCGTACGTGGCTGCCCCCGTGAGGGGAGGAAGTGTGGAGGAGAGAGATGGCATTGACGACGGAGGTCGCGTATGATGCCCTCACTCCCTCTCTCGCCTCGCTTTCTCGTGGAGGCGGAGGCGGCGAGTAAGCGCCTTTAATGGAGGTGGTGGTGGGTGGTGGCTTCCTCACAGCACTGCAACACGCACACGTACCGCCGCCCTGCTCTCTGCACTCCAGTACCCGCAACCGCCACACTTCGCCGTTCGTAGGGACACTGCCAGCTTACCGGAAACAAGGAATGATGCGTCGGCTGATGAACGCTGTCGAGCAGGTAGGTGCACGACACTACTGTCACCAACTCACTCGCTACTCTGTCCGTCAGTGATACAATCTCTATGAATGAACCAGGTGCTGGCGTCAGTGCAAGTGGAGAAGCTGGTGATACCGGCCATAGCTGCTATGGTGGACACCTGGAAGAGGTCCTTCTCCTTCAGGCCTCTAGACCCCGAGTCGAGGGAGGAAACCAAGAGGCAGAGCCTGGTGGTGATCACCGGCACTACCCTGCTCCACAAACCCGTGGCCGACGCGCCGCCGTCTCCGTCGCCACACAAACAAACCGAAGCAGCAGCGGCGAAGAGTGGAGCAGAGCCATGGTGGTGGAAGTACACGTACGGGGCGCCGCCGCTGACGGACGACGAGCGGGCCTTCCTGGAGACGGACACGGGCACGGCGTCGCTCGGCTGCAGCTTCACCGACCTGGTCACCGGCAAGGTGTCGTCCCTGCACAAGGCGATGTGCGCGGGGAACTCGTCGACGTCGGTGCCCTGCTGCTCCTCCGGGTCTCCCGCGGCCAGTCCTGGGAGCGGCGGCATGCCGCGGCTGTCGTTCGTGCGGTGAGGCGAGCGCGACGGGTGCGTGCTTGCTTTGCCGACATTCGCTTCAGCTCTGGAAAATGGAGACCGAGGTGGAGAAGATGAGATCGTGCCGGTTTTTTTTTTTTTGCTAAAAAACCAGTGGCTGCCGAGGTTCACGTGGGCCTCACATGCCTCCCCTGCGTCCGTGGACAGCCACGTTGACTGCTCGACACCGTCTAGGTTGTTTAGGACCTACATCGACCGAATTAAGTAGATTGGGAAGTCAAGAGTGCGATTTTATAGTTTGGAGACCCAGACGAAATCAGCCCAATACTTTAAGGACCGGCCGTGCAATTTACTCTCGTACATTCAGGGATCCTAAAGGATAAAGTGATGTAAAGGCATGGGGCTGAACTGCTCAACTGGGCCGGTTACGGCCCTGTTTGAATACAAAGTATTTTCGGAGTTTTAGAAAAATACCATGGTTTTGTGAAATACTTTGATTTTAGAGTGTCATGAAGTATTTAGGTGCAACAAACTTTATGATTTTGAATATCATGATATTGCTGAAACTATAGTCTTATTGGAGTTTTAAAATACTCCACTTACTCTAGACCCTTTTTTCTTAACCACTTAAAACTACAGTTTCTTGATAGTATGGTTTCTTAATTAATACTACAATATCCAAACAAGGACTATTCATAATCAGAATTTTAGACTTCTCCTAGTGATGTGGGCTTCTCCTAGTGTTTTAGCATTCAAAATTTAGTATAAATTTTCCGTACTAAATGTCTCCTAGTGAGATTCTCAAGTGCTATGATTAGTAGTAGTGTTTTACTACTACCTAAAAACACGAGGAGAAGTACATCCACCATTTTGGTAGTGACTTCTCCTTGGGTGTACAAACACGATATCAACAAAACTTTGATCATCTACAAACTGTGCTCAAGTTAGGCCCACGTAATATAAACTAATCATGCCAAATTTAATTTACCATGTCATATTATGTTAACAAAAGTTAAAATGGTGGTATGCCTACATAGGATGGAATTTTTTTTTTATGATTGGAGGGATATGTCTAATAAGTTCTTGTGTAGCATCGACAATTATGTTTTATAATAAGATGGTTTTTTTATTGTAAAAGTTGATTTAGCAACCAATTATGTACGACGCATATGAAATCGAATCAAAGGCATCTTTTTTTAAAGGACTGAACAGGCTACAAGGAGGCTAGTATCCAGTACATTTACAGTAGCTCCTGTGATATCCAAAGACTACTATTGACACTACTATTTAATGTGGTTCATATAGTCTCTTGTTCGCATACAACTTCCATTATTATAAATCCCGTTGCGACATATATACCAATATGATGACATACTCCCTCCATTCTAAATTGTAAGTTGTTTTGGTTTTTTTAGATACACAATAAAATATATATCTAAAAAGGCCAAAAACGGTTTACAATTTGAAATGGAGGGAGTTGTAAAAATAATAGCACACAAAAAACGTATACCTAGCAATTAAATTTAAATGTCCTCAATCAAGGTCCTCCATCAATTTGTAGTTGGCAAACGTAAAGATAATGTCATGCCACACACATGCTAGGATGCAATTTTTTTATCAGAAGTATTCTAAATTGTAAGTTGTTTTAGCCTTTTTGGGTACACAGTTGTTCCTATATATGAATTTCAATATATGCTATGTCTAGATACATAACTTTTACTATGTATTTAGAAAAGCCAGAACGACTTACAATGTATTTAGAGTGGAGGGATTAGTAAATAATAGTAGCACTACCAAAATCCTACGCCTACTAAGTAAATTTAAATGTCCTCCATTAGGGTCCTAAATTATATATTTGTAGTAGTTGTCAAACCTAAAGATAATGTGATGTGGCGCACACACACATGCATGCTAGTTGCTAGGACCCAATTTGTTTTGTCAGAAGTATTCATGCATGCAGGTCTCTGACAAATTGATATCATGCATCCCGGCCTTGTGTTGTGCTACATATATAATGCAACGCATACAAACTTTGTGCTGAATGGTACTTCTGAACTTCCACTCATCATGTTGCGAATGCGGTACTAACCACATAATTTTCGCAAATTGCACACTACTGTCCAGTCGCTCGGCAGGCATGTACTCCCTCTGTCCCAATTTATATTTCGTTTTCGATTTTCGTGCCGCAAGTTTGACTCGATTTATAAAAAATGCGTGCAACATTTGTATTTTCAAATAAATTTATTAAAAAACTAGATTCAAAGATCTTTCCAATGATACCAATTATGTACCATAAATATTAATATTTTTAAATATATATTTTATCAAAGTTGTTTCTCGGAAAACGAAAACGGTAGATATTTTAAGAGCAAGTACGTTGCCTTGCCCCTGTTTGCAGTCTGCATGGCCGGCAATAAATACCCCGCACATTTCATTGTCCAGTACTCCAGTCGCTTGCCGGCCGGCCGGCCGGATCATACAGATTTGAAAGGCGGAATAGAACAAGTGTGCCACTGAAGGATGTATAAAATGATTCACATGTCAACTACAGTACGTGTGTGCTATTCGCCTAAGCTCATGAACGACACTGCTTTTGCAAGGCATATAATAAAGAAATGCCTCAATATCATCCAATGTTAGCCTCTGATCGATACATAATGATATTGTAGCTTAAAAGCAGTGGACCATAGCGTGACATCCTTGCACCACCGTTAGTGCTAGCTAGCTGCCTCTATTTTACACGTGTGAGTGACCATAATAATTCATGCATATGTCCCTCTTTTCACGAATAGTTATATATTCGTGCATGTCTAATACTACAACACACATTTATGTTTTTTCTAAAGTTTTAGTCAAGCTGGTCAAGAACGAGAAGTAGCATTGTTTTGGTCGTACATTTGAATTTCAAAGCGAGTAAGCGATATACATGTCCAAATGGGCTGCCCTGCACGACACGGCACGGACATGTTTAGGCATGGCACGTTAAGACATGGGCACAAAAGACACAACTAGCTAGCTACCAGCTGGGGCGGAGGTAGGCCCCTTTGTTGGGGTCCGCTGACCCCGATAGAATTTGGCAAATCAGTGGAAGTGTCCAGGGTCAGACCCAGGCATGGCACTAAGAGCATGTAACCGTGTCGTTGCAGCCAGATAAGTCCGCCCACTGTAGCCCGAACAGCAGTTCGTCTTAGCAAAAAAACATGTAAAAAAAAATCAAAAGTTCACAAATGCACTTGATTTTACACAGATCGAACACAAGCACACACAGAACCACAAATCATGCTGGAACTCACTGCTAGTCGATCCTAGCTTATGTGACCGCCCACGGGGCTGGGGACGGTGGCTCAGCAGCTCCTAGTTGCCGCCATGGCTCCTAGCTGGGAGCGAGATGAGCGGCCTTGGGGTTAGGGCCTTGGGGTTAGGGAATGAGCAGCACCCGGCACAGGTGAGGGATAGAGAGAGAGGCACTCGACGGCCGTTGGCAGCTCAATGGCTCGACAACGCTGATGACAGGGGTGGTATGGAGGCACTACAAGAAATGTGCCATCTTATGACATTTACCCCATGACATCTCATCTAAATGTCACTAAATCAATCAAATTATGACATTTCTTTGGAAGCCATATCAACTTAGTGACATAAAAGATTGCACGTCACAAAAAATACGTCTTAAAGGTAGTCAATTTTCATATTGTGACAGTATTTACCATGTCATAAAGACCAATTTGCAAATGCCAATTTTTCAGGTTTTATGACCAATATCAAATGTCAAAAGATGACACATTTCTTGTAGTGAGGAGACATCGATGGCCGCTAGGAGCAAAGAGGCCCGATCAGTGTGGAGGAGACGGTGGCGGGGATTCATTTTGGGGAAGATGGCGGCGGGTATTCCAAGAATTGAGAGTCGTGAGGAATGGTTATTAGGTGACCATAAAAATTATAATCATGTCCCTTTTCACGAATACTTATATATTGGTACATGTCTAATACAACACACATTTATTTTTTTCTAAGTTTTAGTCAAGCTGTTCAAGAATGAAGTAGCATTGTTTTGGTCGTTCATTTGAATTTCTAAGCGAGTAACGGATATAAATGTTCAATTGGGATGCCTGGCACGACACGGCATGGGCACGTTAAGGCACAGGCACGAAAGGCACGACTAGCTAGCTAGCCATGTCATGTCATGGCGGCTGTCATGCCCAAGGTCAGACCTAGGCATGGCACTAAGAGCATGCATGTAACCATGTCGTGGCAGCTAGATAAGCCTAGTGGCCCGAAAGCCCATTATAGCCTGAATAGCAGTCCATCAAGCAAAAAATCAGAAAAAATAAACAAAAAATCAAAAAGTCATTGATGCACTTTATTTTACAGGATCAAACACAAGCACATTCACGGAGCCACCAATGAAGATGGAACTCGTCGCTAGTCGATCCTAACTTCTGTCGCCGCCCCCAGGGCTAGGGAACGGTGGCTCGGCCGCTCCTCATTGCCACCATCGCTCCTACTAGCTGGGAGCAATGGGAACGGCCTCAGGGTCAAGGGACGAGCAGCACCCGACACTGGTGAGGGACGGAAAGAGAGGTGCTCGACGGCCCCTGAGAGCTCAATGGCTCGACAACGCTGAGGACAGGGGCTGTGTGGAGGAGACATATATCGTTGGCCGTTGGGTGGAGAGAGGCCCGATCTGTGTGGAGGAGATGGCGGGGGGGATTCATTTTGGAGGAGACAGCGGCGGGGATTTGTTTTGGAGGAGCCGATGGGGATTCGTTTTGGAGGAGATGGTGGCGGGTATTTGTTTTGGAGGAGATGACGAGGTGACAGGGATTCGAACAGTCAAGAGTCACGAGGAAAGATTGGGTGAGAGTTACATGTGAGAAAAGAATAAAAACGTGTTATAGCTATGTGGCAAAACCGCCTAATCTAATGCCTCTCAGGAGTGCTTGTCTTGTATTAGACACTAAGCACTCAAGGGAGAACACTAAATTACACAGTTCCGTCGGGCACACCCCAAG